TGCGTCCGCGGTCGCGCGCAACGCCGCGAGTTCTCCTCTCAGTTCCTCGCACGCGTCGCGATGCGCAGCGAGGTTGGCCCGCAAGTCGTCTCTCTCCGCCATCGCCGCGTCCGCGTACAGCCGCGCGGATTGCTGCATCGCGTCGATGCGCGTCCGCAGCGCGTCGATCTCCTCCGCGGCGCTCGCCGCCGCCGCGCGCGCGCTCGTCTCGACCGCGTTCGCGTCCGCCTCCGCGCTCGCGACGCTCGCGCGTAACGCCCGGACTTCGGAAGTTTCGAAAGTCGTCGCGGAAGCGGAAGTCGTCGTCTCCCCCGCGGTGGCCGCGCCGAGACGCTTTCGCACGGAATCGATCGTCTCGATCACGCCGCCGCTCGCGGCGAACCGAAGCATCGCGCACTCCTCTCGAAGGTCCACGAGCGCGTCCTTGTCCGCGCTCGCGGCTTCGGCGGCGGCTCGCGCGTCCGCTTTCAACGTCGCGACCTGCGCTTTGAGTTGATCGCAAAACTCCTGATGCCGCAGCGCGTCGGCGGCGGCGGCGGCGGCGGCGATCGCCGCGCCGGAGGCGTCCGCGTTCGCCGCCGCCGCCGCGGCGTCCACCGCGGTCTGCATCCGAGCGCGCAGGTCCGCGTTTTCTTTTTCGAGCGCGTCGTGTGACTCTTCCTTCGCTCGGAGCATCTTCGAGGCGTCCGCCGCGCGCGTCTTCGCCTCCGTCGCGGCGTCCTCGGCTCTCTCCGCGTTCGCCGTCGCCTCCGTCGCGGCGTCCTCGGCTCTCTCCGCGTTCGCCGTCGCCGCCTGAACCGCCGCGCGCGCCGCGACGAGCGCGGCGTTGGAATCGTCCGCTTTCGCCGCGACCGCCGCGGCCTCGACGGCGGTGGACAGCCGGAGCTTCAAGTCGACGATCTCGGCGGTCGCCGCCTCGTGCGCCGCCTCTTTCGCTTTGAGAAGCTTCCAGTTGTCCGCCGCGTGGGTTTTCGAAGCCTCGAGCTCGCCCTCGAGCGCGTCCGCGCGCGCGCGCGACCGCGCGGCGTCCGCCTTGGACGCCTCCAACGCCGCGGTCGCGCGTTCCGACGCCGCGGTCGCGGCCGCGAGCGCGTCCGCGGACGACTTGAGCTTTTCCCCCGCGGCGGCGGCTTCCACCGCCGTCGCGAGTTTCTTTCGCAAATCGACGATTTCGCCCTCCGCGGCTTCGTGCGCGGCTCGTTTCGCGACGAGGTTGTCCCAGTTCGCCTTGGCGTGCGCGGCGGTCTCCTTCTCTTTCGCCTCCATCGCGCTCGCGTGCGCTTTCGATTCCTTCGCCGCTTTCGCGAGCGCGGCGTTGAGCTTTTTGAGGTCCTCGACTTGTCTTTTAGTCTTTTCCGCCTCCTCCGTCGCCGTCTCGAGCGCTCGTTTCGACGCCTCAGCCGCCGCCGCGGCGGCCGCGGCGTCCACCGCGGTCGCGAGTCGTTTCCTCAGATCATCCGCCTCCGCGGTCGCCGCCGCGTGCGCCGCCTCTTTCGCTTTGAGCATCTTCCAGTTATCCGCCGCGTGGGATTTCAAAGCCTGAGCCTCCTCTTCCAGCGCGTCGCATCGCCTCCGAAGCCCCTCGGCCATCTCGCGCGCCTCCGCGAGGTCCTCCCCCGCCGCTCTCGCCGCGGACGACGCAGCCTCTAACGCTGCGCGCGAGTCCTCCGCTTTCGCCGCGACCGCCGCGGCCTCCACCGCGCTCGCGAGCTGCTTCCGGAGGTGGAGTTGAAAGGCGTCAGAAGCGGAGTTGAAAGGCGTCGAGGCGTGTCGGAATTGAAACCGTGTTGTGGGCGGAGAGACACGCCGGGAGAGAAAGTCCTTAAGAAACGGCGTTCACCACGCGAACGCGATCGTATGGGGACCAGTGTGAAGGAGAACGCGCCTGCTTCCGGAGGTCCGCGATGGTCGACTCGGAAGCCGCGCGCGCGTTTTGTTTCGCGAGCAACAGCCGCCAGCGTTCCGCGGCGAGCGCTTTCGACTTGGCCTCCGCGTCCGCGCTCGCCGCCGCGAGCGCCTTGGCGCCCGCGGCTTCTTTCTCCAGCGCCGCGTTCAGGTCCTCGAGCTGCGCCAGCCTCTCGTCCGCCGCCGCCAGCGCGCGTTCGCGTTCGATCTCTTTCGCCTCGTCGTCCGCGGAGGGCGCGGTTTTCGTCGCCGTCGTCGCCGTCGCGAGTCGCTCCCTTAACTCCGCAATCTCCGCCACCGCGGCGTCGTGCGCGGCGTGCGTCGCGCGCAGGTTGTCCCAGTTATCCGCCGCGTCCCGCTTCGACGCCTCCGCTCGCTTCTCGAGCGACGCGCACGCGTCTCGGAGCTTCTCGAGCTCCTCGCGCGCGTCTTTCGCGGTCGCGTTGACCTCCGCGATCTCCGCGTCCTTCGCCCTCATCGCGTCCTCGCCGGACGTCTTCGCGCGGTCGTCCGCGGCGGCGGCTTCCTCTACGGCGAGCGTCAACCTCTTCTCCAGGTCGTCCGCGCGCTTCTCCGAAGCAATCGCGCTCTCCTCGGCCGCGTCGCGCGCGTCTTCCAGGCGTCGCGTCTCCGCCGCCGCCGCCGCCGCCGCCGCCGCCGCCGCCGCGCTCGCCGCCGTCTTCGCCTCCGCGAGCCGTCGCTTCAGATCATCCCTCTCCTCGGACGCCGCCGCCGCGGCTCTCGCGGCGGCCACCTCCACCGCGTTCGTCGCCGCCTTCGCAGCCTCGAGCTTTCTCCTCAGACCCTCCGCGCGCTCGTGCGCGGCGTCGCGTTCGGACGCGGAAAACTCCGCCGCGGCGGCGGCGGCGACGAGCTCCGTCGTCGTCTCGTCGCGCTCGCTCTCGAGGCGCGCGACGCGCGACCTCAACTCCGTGAGCTTGGCGCGGAGCTCGTCGCTCTCCGCGACCGCCTCCGCGGCGGTCGCAGTCGCCTCCGCGACCGCCGCCGCGCGCCGGACGTCGTCCTCCGCGGCTTTCGCCGTTCGCGCCGCCGCCTCGGCTTCCACGGCGGCTTTCGCGCGCTTCAGCTCGTCCACCTGGCGCGCCACGTCACGCATCGCGGCGAGCTCCTTCTCCGTCATGGACACCGTCCTCGACAGGATCTGGATCTCCTCTCGCGCGCGCGAGAGCTGCCCCGCGTGCTCGTCCGCGCGCGTCATCGCCGTCGCCTCGGACGCGGTCAGTCTGTGCGCGCGGTACTTCGTCGCGCTGAGGGTCGAGGGTCCACGCGAAGCGACAGACGTCGGGGCGGAGTTGAAAGGCGTCAGAAGCGGAGTTGAAAGACGTCGAGGTCGGGCGTTGAAAGCGAGGGACCCTGTGCGGAGAGACACGCCGGGAGAGAAAGTCCTCAAGAAACGGCTTTCACCACGCCAACGCGGTCGTATGGGGACCAGTGCGAGGAGCGCGCGCCTGAGCTGCGAGGACACCTTCTCGAGCTTGGCGCGGAGCTCAGCCTCCGCGGGGGAGGAGGAGGAAGGATCCGGATCCGGATCCGGATCCGGGCGCGGCGACTCGTCGTCGACGTCGACGTCAACTTCAACGTCGCCGCCGCCTTCCGTCGCCGCGAGTCTGGACGCTTCCGCGCGCGCGCGCCGCCGCCGCCGCGACGGCGACTCGCGACCGCGCGGCGTCGACCGACCCGACGTCGCCGCGCCCGCGTCCGACGTCGGCGTGTGCACCTCCCTGACCGGCGACAGCGCGCCCCCCTCCGTGGGGGACACCGCGATGGGCGATAACGCCGACGGCGGGCGAACGCGGTGGTCGCCGCGACCCGGCGTCTTGCTTCGCGGCGACGCCGGCGACGCGCCTCGGTCGTCGAACCCGGCTGAGGGTCGTTCCATACAAGCGATTGTCGGGGTGGAGTTCATAGGCGTCAGTTGGAGTTGAAAGGCAACGCGGGCGGGGATTGAAAGCGAGGTGTGGGCGGAGAGACGCGCCGGGCAAAGTCCTTAAGGATCGGCGTTCACCACGCCAACGCGGTCGTATGGGGACCAGTGTATAGAACGCGCCTAAATCCTGCTCGGATTCGCTCAAGACGGACGTCAGACCGGTGATGTCGCTCGCGCCGCTCGTCATCCCGCCGCCGACGCCGGTGCTGTACCCGCTCACGCCGCTGATGTCCGTCACGCCGTCCGCGTCGCGGACGTAGTTACGCAGCCACGTCACGGAGACGTCTAATTCGCATCGCACGCCCTTCGCCTTGGACGCTTTGTTGTCGAGCGGCAGCGCGACCGTCTCGCCGCGCGCGGAGTGCTCCAGACGCGCGTGCTCCGAGAAGTCGATCGTCGTCTTGGCGTACGTCGCGAGTTTTGGATCCTTGCCCGTCCCCGCGCCGCCCTCCACCGCCTGCGCTTTCACGGAGTACTCCTTCTTCTCGAACGACCCGTCCGCGTTTTTGTACAGCGTCACGATGAAGATCAACTTGGACGACGACGACGACGAGTCGGACCCCGACCCCGACCCCGACCCCGACGCGGACGCGGCGCCGCCCCACGTCGCGACGCCGTCCGCGACGTCGCTCGCGCTCGACTGCTGCACCTTCGCGCCGCGGGTCTGGACGACGACGGAATCGGAGAGAGACGCGGAGGGGAGGAGGAGGGCGTGAGACGACGACGGCGGCGGCGGCGACGACGACGCGACGGAACCGAAGGAGGAGGACAAGGCACCGGGGTGCGGTCGACGCGTCGGTCGAGCGCGACGACGACGACTGGACGACGCGCGGACGCGAGGACGCACCAGCGTCAGGACCGTCTTCGCGACCTTGCTCGGGATCCCCGTGACGTTGCGGACGGCGACGTCGATCCTGCGGGGGGGGGCGATGACGAACGGACGGCGACGCGGGGAGGGGGGGGGGGGGAGGGCGTCAGATCTGGGACGCGCGCGCGCGGGGCGAGGATGCGCAGCTGTCGGATGACGCGCGTTTGAATTCGCGACGCCGCGCGACGCCGCGCCGTCGACGAGGGGTTCGCGCGCCTGAACTTGAACGTCTCCTTCCCGCGTCGGCTCATCCGGCGCATCATGACGACGTGCGGGCCGGGTGGTGCCCGGTCCACGCGTGCGGCCGCGCGAGTGAACGCGGCGACGGGCGCCGCGCGTATTTCACGTCTCGGTCAGCAGGTCGTCGCCGTCGCGTAGTTGTAGTCGGGGAAAATACGAAAATGCCAACAGCCAAGACGACGACGGCGACAGAACGCGACGCGCGCGTAGGGCGACCATGGCACCGCCCGCGCCGCCCCCTACGCCGCTCGCGTCCGCGGTGACGACGTTCGGGAAGGACCTCGCGTGCCCGATATGCATGTCGCTGTTCGACGGCGCGGTGCGGACGCGTTGCGGGCATTACTTTTGCGAGAAGTGTCTGCAGGGATCGCTCGCGGTCAAGCCGCGGTGTCCGCTGTGCAAAGAGACGTGCCGGCGACGCGAGATCTCCGCGGACGACGCGATGCGGCGGCTGGTGCAGAACTACCGAAAAGTGCTCGTCGCGACCGAGTGCAGGACGGCGTACTGGTCGCAGATGCCGCCGCCGAGGACGAAGGCGTGAGGAGGAGGACCAGACGCGGAGAGAGGAGAGCGTCGACGAAGGCGGAGATCGCGGAGGGCGTTCGCAAACTTCAACAGTGAAGGTACCTTCGGTAGTATAGTCAGAGGGCCGCGGTTGGACGACGACGACGACGACGCGACGCGACGCGACGCGACGCGACGCGAGTAGCGAACTAGGACTAAGACAATCACAGTAGGGCTACTGTAGCTAGTAAAGAATAGCTGTTCAGAGGCGTCGCCGACAGACTGACGCTCACGAAACCGCGGCGGCGTCGTCGTCGCCGCCGCCGCCGGTTTCGTCGACGTCTTCTTCTCTCTTCTTCTCTCTCTTGTGCCGGTTCCGCCAAACCTCCCCTCGCACCCTCGCGGCGTGCTCTTCCATCTTCCGCTTCGGCAGCGCCTTCCCTAACGCGTCCGCCCAATCCCCGCCGTTGTGCCACGCGCGGCACAGCGCGTCCACGGTCTGATGAGGGTCGTTCCGCGCGAGGCGACAGACGTCGTCGGGGTGGGGTTGATAGGCGTCAGTTGAAGTTGAAAGGCGTCGAGGGCGGGGATTGAAACCGTGGCGTGGGCGGAGAGAGGCGCCGGGAGAGAAAGTCCTTAAGGAACGGCGTTCACCACGCCAACGCGGTCGCACGGCGACCAGTGTATACAGTAGAACGCGCCTGATTCACCGTCAGGATGTTCACGCTGAAGTTATTCCCGAACGCCTCGCGAAGCGGCAAACGTCTGGCTTCGACCTTCGCCGCCGCCGCGCGGTCCAGCGTCGCGTTCGCGATCCTCTTGTAGTCGCACAGCCCGCCGACGACGTAGACGGTATCCCGACGGACGTCGGTCAAACACTCGGGCGCGTCGGGCGAGAGCACGACGACGCGAGGCCCCCCGGACGCGGACGCGCGTCCGCGCGCCGACGCGCCGCCGGCGTGTTCTCGCGCGGCGGCGGCGAAGTCCTTCGCCGAAATCAACACGGGCCACCGCGCCGCGCAGTGATCCCGCGCGAGGTATCTCTCGACGTCGCCCGTCATCGACGAGAAGAGCAATCGCGCGGGTTTGCCGCGCGCGCCCGCGTCCGCGACCGCGGCGCGCGCTCTCGTCTCGCGCGCGTCGCGGGACGTCGTCGTCCGCGTTTTCGTGTCGCCTGCGTGGGTGAAGCGATCGGTCAGTCGAACGTCTTACCGGTCAAACGTACGTTGAAAGGGAAGCGCGGGTGAAGAGTGACGACGGGAAAAGTCCTTAAGGAACGGCGTGCACCACGCGAACGGGGTCGTATGGGAAGCAGTCTCACCGCCGCCGCCGCCGCCGCCGGTCGTCGTCGTCGCCGCCGCCGGGTCTCTTCGCGTCGCGTCTGCGTCTGCGTCTGCGTCTCGACCCTCCGCCGCGGTCGATCCCTCTCTACTATTCTCTCCCGCTCCCGCGCTTCTCTCCGCCGCCGTCGTCGTCGTTCCGCGCACGACGGCGTCCGCGGTGAGGTTCAACACGGACGCGTACGAGCACTGGAGCTGCGTGACGAGCGATTTCATCTCCGCGTCGTTCCATACAAAGCGATGGCGGGGTGGAGTTCAAAGGCGTCAGGTGGAGTTCAAAGGCGTCGAGGGCGGGGATTGAAAGCAAGGGGTGGGCGGAGAGAGACGACGGCAAAAGTCCTTAAGGAATGACGTTCACCACGCGAACGCGGTCGTATGGGGACCAGTGTATAGAACGCACCTCAGCGTCGTTCATGAGATGCGACATGCCGCAGTCGACGACGACGCGAACGCCGCCGTCGCCGCCGTCGCTCCACGGCGCCGTCATGTCTTCGCGCACGACGCGCTTGATCGCCTCGCGCTCGTGTCGCGTCGCGCTCTTCGCCCAGTGCTCCGTGGAGTTCGGATCGCGCGTCTCGAGGGCGGCGGTCTTCGCCGCGCGACGGCGGTCGCGCTTGCGCGCGCGGCGCTCCTGCCACGTGTGCTTCGATCGATACGACGCGGGCGCGGGCGTGGGCGTGGGCGCGGCGGCGGCGTCGGCGGCGTCGGCGGCGTCGCGCGATGGCGGCGCCTCGGGCGCGGCCGGGGAGGACCAGAGACCGCCCATGGCGCGCGCGTGTCGTGGCGCGTGGACTCTGGACTGCGTGAGGTGCTCACTTCCGCTTCTCCGAAGGCCAATCAATACGCGCTTCCGGCGCCAACACAGCGCTCGCTCTGCTCGTTCAAAATTCGCGAACCAGACAACGGACAACGACGCGCGCGCCACGCCGCACGCCGTCGCCGCGCGGTCGCCGTCATGGTGGACTACGACGACGTGTACGACGACGACGACTTCGAGGACGACCACGACGGCGTCGACGTCGAGGACGACGCGGACGTCGGCGACGCGCCGGTCCCGAGCCCGTCCCCGTCCGCCGCGCCCTCCTCCGCCGCGGACGCGAATGCGAGATCGTCGGCGTCGTCGCGCGTCGTCGCCGCCGCGCCCGCGCCGGCGGTGACGGTCTCCGACGAGCTCGAGCTCACGGCGTCGCCGATCCCGTCGGACTCCCCGGGCGGCGGCGGCCCGACGCCATCGCCCGCGCCGCGGCTCACCCCCGCGCGCGGCGGCGCGGCGAGATCGCCGCTCGCGTCGCAGCTCCGCGCGGGAGGCCCGCCCGGGGCGTCGCCGAAGCCCGCGGCGCCGTCGCCGTCGCCCGCGCCGTCGTCCGCGCCGCCGTCGTCGTCGTCCTCCGTCCTCGCGGGCGGCGGAAAGACCAAGACCGGGCCGTCGCCGCTCACGGGGAAGCCGCGGGTGAACGTCAGCATCGACCTGAACACCGACTCGGACGACGACGACGACGACGTCCCGGTCGCCGCCGCCGCGACGACGACGACGACGACGACGACGACGACGACGGCGACGACGTCCGCCGCGTCGAGGCCGCCGACCGCACGCCGACCGCTGCCGACGCCGTCGCCGGACGCGAAAGCGAAGCTGGACGCGCTGCGACGTCGCAACCGCGGCGGGAACGGGAACGCAGCCGCCGCCGCCGCCGCCGCGGATGAGAAGCCAGAGGTCGTCGCGAGACGGACGAACCCCTCGCCTTCGCCGCCGCCGACGACGACGAGGTCGTCGACGGAGAAAAAGCCGTCGCCGGTCGTCGCCGCCGCGCGCGACGCGCTCGCGGCGGAGAGCTACGACGGCCCGATCGGCGTCCGACTCAGCAGCGCCTTCGAGTCGACGCTCGCGACGCAGAACGCGTCGCCCTACGCGGACGCCGCAGACGCGCACGACGAGATCCCGACGATCGAGGCCGCGGTCGCCGAGCAGCTCGAACACCGGCTCGCGCGTCAGACGCGTCGGCTCGCGGATCTCGTTCGGCGGCAGCAGGCGCGTTCTCCTTACACTGGTCCCCGTACGACCGCGTTGGCGTGGTGAATGCCGTTCCTTAAGGACTTTTCCCGGCGTGTCTCTCCGCCCATCACCCCTCGCTTTCAATCCCCGCCCTCGACGCCTTTGAACTCCGCTTCTGACGCCTTTGAACTCCACCCCGACGTCGCTTCGTATGGACAATTACCCCTCAGTCGCTCGAAGCCGCCGCCGCGAAGGACCGCGCGGACGCTCGCGCGCGCGAAGAGACGTTGCTCGTCGCGCTCGAGCAGGCGGAGGCGGCGCTCGCGGACGAGCGCGCGGCGAAGGAGGTCGCGCGCGCCGCGCTCGCGGACGAGAGGGCGCGCAACTCGAGCTACGGGCGACTCGCGAGCGGCGCGACGGACGTCCGATGCGTCTCAGTGGAGGACGCGGAGGCGCTCCGCAAAGAGATCGTCGCGCAAGACGCGCTGATGCGAGGGTACCAGAAGGAGAACGAGCGCACGGTGACCGCGCTCGCGAGCGCGAAGCGCGCGGCGGCGGCGACCGAGAGAGCTCTCGTCGCGGACGTGAACAGGCTCAACGGCGAGCTCGCGCGAATGAAGCTCGACGCGGAGAAGCGGGAGAACGGCGGCGAGAGGCACCTCGAGCGGACGCTACGCGCGGAGTCGGCGCTCGCGACGGCGAAGCGCGAGCACGAGGAGCTCGCGCTGGAGCTGAGGCAGGAGAGGGACGCCGCGAGGGCGGCGTGTCGCGCGTTGGAGGCGAAGCTCGCGGGCGTCGACCTGTCGAAGATCACGCCGGGGGGCGCGGACGATTACGAGGTGCGTTCTCCTCGCACTGGTCCCCGTACGACCGCGTCGGCGTGGTGAACGCCGATCCTTAAGGACTTTTCCCGGCGCATCTCTCCGCCCACCCGTCGCTTTCAATCCCCGCCCGCGATGCCTTTCAACTCCAACTGACGCCTTTGAACTTCACCCCGACTTCGCTTTGTACGGAACGACCCTGAGACGTTCGAGAACAAGCTGAACGAGATCAACGCGCAGCACGCGAAGGAGACGAGCGAACTCCGACGGAAAATCGCGTGGTTCACGGAGAACCAAGAGCTCGTGAGCGAGAGGGACGGGCAGCTGCGAAGGCAAGCCGCGCGGATCGAGGATCTGGACAAGAAGCTGGCGAAGGCGCAGCGGGATTTAGCCAAGGCGATTCCCGCGGCGGGCGCGCCGCGCGAACCCGTCGGGAACGGCGGCGGGAACGGCAACACCCCCGGTGCTGGTGGCGGAAAAAAGAAAAACGCACGATGGGTAGGCGTCGGCGAAGGTAAATCGGCGCCGACGACGACGAGCGAGGACCACCGCGACCAGACGAGCTCGAACCTGTACGGCATCCTGCACCCCGACGACGGCGCCGGCGCCGTCGACGCCTCGGCGGCGTTCGACGCCGGCTTGGCGAAGAAACCCAACAGCGTCGCCGCGATGATCCGCGCGGTGCGACCGAACCACGAGCACGCGGAGAAGATCATCGCGCTGGAGGCGAAGGTCCGGAGGCTCCAGGACGAGCTGGACGCCGTGGACGGCGAGCACGAGCGGTCGCTGCGGGCGTTGCAGCAGCAGCACTTGCGCTTAAAAAACGCGATGGAAAAGAGAGTGAAGGACGCGGAGCGCGGCGCCGTCGGCGGCGCCGCGGGCGCGGGCAAGATTGGCTCCACCGCGGAGAAGAAGTTCAGCGCGCCGAGCGCGAGGCAGCTCCAGATGAAAGTGCACGAGCTCGCGGGCGAGTGCGAGTCGCTTCGGGAGAAGGCGCGGCGCGCGGAGAGAGAGGTTGTGAAGCTTCGAAGCGCGCAGGAGAAGCTGAAGCGACACGCCGCCGACGCGACGCGGCGGAGCGTCGACGCCGCGAAGGCGTCCGAGTCCGTCGCGGTTGAGCCGGCGTCGAAGCGCGGCAAACTCGCGCCGGCGGTCGCGCCCTCGAGCCCGGGGAAGCGGAAGTCCCCGAGTCGGGACCCTGAGTCGGCACCCCCGAGCGGGCACCCGGCGACGACGCCGTTCGACCCGACGAACCCGACGGCGGGTTTACCCGCCGTCGTGCGACGCGTCGGAGCGTCGTGGGACGACGTCGACGTCGACCAACGCGCGTCCGCGCCGCGGTCGGCGTCGCCGGTGAAGCCGAAGTCGTCGCCGGTGAAGTCGAAGTCGCCGGAGTCGCTGCCGCGGTGGGATTCGTCCCCGGGGCCGAAGCCGAAGCCGAGGCGGCGGCCGGCGACGGCGGCGGCGCCGGCGCCGGCGGCGCCGAACGGTCCGCGCGCGCGCCGGTCTCTGGACGTCGCGATGGGGAAAGAAAACGACACCGCCGCCGCCGCGTCGTTCGTCCCCGCGGAGTTCGCGGCGCGACTCCAACGGCTGGAACAAAAGGCTGTCGCGCGAGAGGCGTACTGGAAGGGCGTCGTCAACGAGGTGCAAAAGGCGCACGCGGCGGACGCCGCGACGCTGCGGAAACAGTGCCAACGCGCGATCGACGCGAAGAACGTGCAGATACGGCAGTTCCGCGAGCAGCTCAGCGCGCTGATGCAAGCGATGCACGAGCAGGCGCTGAGGAAGAGCATCGAGGGTGGCGTGAAGAGCGCGGCGTAGAATTGAGAGCGCGCGCGCGGTCGAGTGTCCATAAGGTTACCGTATGATATCAGAGTCGAGAAGAAGACTTTCTCACCACCTTTTCTCTCGTCTGTTCTGTTCGATTTGTCGTGTTGAACTTCTGCTTCTGTTCATCATTCGTCTCTCGCGCGAGTCGGGGTCGATGACGCCGACGCCGATGCGCGGGGGCCTCCCCGGGGTGACGCTGCGCTCTTCGTTAGGGTACACCGTGGACGTGTACACGCACGGCGCGCACGTGACGTCGTGGAAGGACAAGGACGGGACGGACATGCTCTTCTGCAGCTCCGAGGCGTGTCGCTCCGTCCGATGCGCTTCTTCGACCCCATCGCGCGAAGCGCCCTCATTGACGGCTCCGCGCTGAGACTCTTCCCGAGACTCTTCCCGGCGGCGGCGGCGGCGGCGGCGGCGGCGTGACTGGTTCCCATACGACCGCGTTCGCGTGGTGAACGCCGTTCCTTAAGGACTTCGACGCGCGCGAACGATCGGTCGATCCCTCTCGCCTCGCACGCTTTCCGCCGCGCCTCGATCGATCGAACGCCGACGACGACGCCTCTCTCTCCCCTCTCCGCAGGCCGTGTTCAAGCCGCCCAAGGCGATACGAGGCGGAATCCCGATATGCTTCCCCCAGTTCAGCGATTTCGGGCCGCTCGGGCAGCACGGGTTCGCGCGCAACGCCACCTGGGAGGTGCGCGCGATCGATCGCGACGTCTCGCCCCGTCCTGCTGGTCCCTTCGAACTGCGGTTCCTTCGAACTAACAACCCTCCCTCCTCGGGCGCGCAGGTACACTCGCGAGAGACGGATAAGATCATCCTTCGGCTGTCGGACACCCCAGAGACGCTCGCGCTGTGGCCGCACAAGTTCACGGTCCTGTACGAGGTGTTCGCGGACGGCAAGTCGCTCCGAACGTCGATGGCGGTGTCCAACGACGGCATCGAGATCGACCTCGAGAACGACGAGAACGACCCCGCGCTCCCCGGCGGCGGCGGGATTCGACTGGGGGGACGACCCATGACGTTCACGGCCGCGCTGCACACGTATTTCAGCGTCACGGACATAACGCGCGCGACCGTGACCGGGTTACGGAACGTGGAGTACTTGGACAGCTTGCGCCAGCGGCAGAAGTTCACGGAGACGAGTGCGTCGTTCCTCTCCGTTCCGTTCCGCGTCGTCGCGTCGCCGCCGCGGACGACGTACAGACACGTTTTTGGTTTCTCCGCCGAGCGACGACTGACGACGCTCTCTTCCTCTTCTTCTTCTTCTTCTTCTGCTTCCATCTCGCAGCCGACGTCCTACACTTCCCGGAGGAAATCGATCGCATCTACCTCAACACCCCGAACACGCTCATCGTGGACGACGCCGTCGGCGCGAAGACGATGAGCGTGATGAAGTCCAATCTGCCGGACGCCGTCGTGTGGAATCCGTGGGTGGATAAGAGCGCCGCGACTGGGGACTTGGGGGACGAGGAGTACACGCGGTTTCTGTGCGTCGAGGCCGCGGCGATCGGGACGCCGGTGACGCTGCCACCGGGGGAGACCTGGGATTGCTTTCAGATCCTGGACGTGTGCAAGGACCCGACCCCGTGACTGGATGTGATGTCATCAAAAAAGATTTGAGCGAGCGAGCGAACGAACGAACGAACGACGGGTTCACCCCTCCCCGCTCCTCCCCGTCCCCGTCTCCCCATCCCCGCCGCCCCTCCCCGTCCCCGTCTCCCCATCCCCGCCGCCCCTCCCTCCCCCTCTCCCGCCGCTTCGGTTCCGGTTCCGGTTCCGTCGTCGCTTCGGCTTCGGCTGCAAACACCGCGCTCCCTCGGGCGGCGGCTTGGGTCGATACGGCCGGCGCCAAAAGTAGTCGTCGTCGTCGTCGTCCGACGCGTCTCGGCGGTCCGCGTCGCGAATCATCTCGACGTCCCCGCCGCCCAGCGGCACCCTCGCTCTGAACTCGAACGGCGCGTCCGGTCCTTTCCTCGATATGAAATACACCGCGTCGACGTCGAACTCGATCGGCGGAGCGTCTCGAAAGTCGCGCTCGAACGCGGCGGCGGCGGCGGCGGCGGCGGCGGCGGCGGGCCACTGGCCGACGCTCATGTGCGGCGTGAAACGCTTCGGGGCCCCGGGGGTTTTCGAGCTCTGGTCGTGCGCGAACGGGAACGCGGTCTCGAGCAGAAGCTGCGCGCGCACGACGTCCGCGCACACCGGCGGGTCCTCCGGGGTGCCGGGCTGTTTCGCTTCGTCGGAAGACGCGCCGCCGCGACCGCTCATCGGTCGCGACGACGGATGCATCCAAACTGTCGCGCTGTGCTCGTTATGCTCGAAGAACGCGAACGCGTCGAACGCGCACGCGAACGGCGTCGCGCCCCTCAGCGCGTCCGCGGCCATCGCCGCCGCGGCCGCGAACTTCCCGTCGTCGCCGTCGTCCACGACGAACGGATACAGAAGGTTCACGTGCGGCGGCCACCGCAGGTAGCTCTTATCGCGCGCGCTGCGGATCTCCTGGATGGATTTCCAACGCGACGGCGGCGGCGCGAGGATCACAGCGCTCTCGTACCGCAAGTCGCGACGATTCAACTCCCGCGACGGTTCATATCTCGACGACGACGACGAGGAGGAGGAGGAGGAGGAGGAGGAGGCGGCGGCGGACGCGTCGGACATGGACGCGCGCGCGCGAGGGAACGACCGCGCGCTCGCCGCGACCGCCGCGCGCGACAGCTCTGAGAGAAATGACAACGACGCGACGCGACGCGACGTCGGCAGCGACAGTCGGCAGTCGGCAGTCGGCACCTCCCGAGTGGATAAGTATTCCGCGCGTCGCGTCGTCCGGCGTCAGTCGCGTCGCGTCGCGCGGGATGGCGTCGACCTCGCGCGCGCTCGCCGCCGCCGAGGTCGCGCCGTCGGCGGCATCGCGCGGACGCCGCCGCGCGGCGCCGCGTCGTCGCGCGGCAGCGCGCGTCGCGAGGGGGCGAGCGCCGCAGATACAGATCTCGTCGCGCGCCGTGACGGCGGAGTCGTCGTCGTCGTCGTCGTCGTCCTCATCGTCCTCATCTTCTTCCGAACGCGCCCCTAAGGCGGTCGTCATCGGCGGCGGCTGGGCCGGCTTCGGCGCGACGTGGCAGCTCCTCAAGCACGGCTTCGACGTCGCGCTCCTCGACGCGTCGCCGAACCCGGGCGGGCTGTCTCGAGGGTGGCGCACGAGTCGCGGCCGCGCGGTCGAGGCTGGGTGCAAAGGATTCTGGCGCCACTACCGCAACATCGACGCGCTCGTCGACGAGCTCGGCATCGCGCCGTTCACGCCGTACACCAGCAGCGCGTTCTACTCCCCGCGCGGTAAGGAGGTGGAGGCGCCGGTGCTCGGGTCGCTGCCGCGGCTGCCGACGCCGCTCGGGACGCTGCTGTACACGTCGCCGTATTTTTCTAACCTCTCCTTCGAGGACAGGGCGAGCGCGGCGCCGCTCGCGTTGGATCTCCTGACGTATGATCTCGACGAGAAGACGTATATGTCGTACGACGCGCGCACCGCGAAGGACGTGTTCTTGGGGAAGTGTAACGGCCGTGATGGGACCGTTTTGCCCCTCGGCGCCGGCTGCAGCGAGGCGTTATACGACACGTTTTTATCCCCGGTGTTGTGCGCGCTCATGTTCGCGCCGCCGAGCGAACTGAGGCGCGTTCTATACAGCAAACACTGGTCCCCGTACGACCCCGTCCGCGTGGTGAACGCCGTTTCTTAAGGACTTTCGCCAGCGCATCTCTCCGCCCGCCTCACGACTCCGTCTGACGCGTCCCTGAACGCCGCCCCGCCCCGACGTCGCTCGCTTCGTACGGACCCTCGACCCTCAGCGCCGCCGCGGCGCTCGACGTCCTGTACGGGTACGTGTTAGCGCACCAAGACGACTTCGACGTGCGCTGGTGTAAGGGGACGATCGCGGAGGAGATTTTCGCGCCGTGGAAGCGAGAGATCGAGAAGGTTGGGGGCGAAGTCTTCGGGGGGCGCCGCGTCGCGCGAGTCGAGCTCGCGACGGGAGAAAGCAACAAAAGGAGATCGCGCGTCGTCGCGACGACGCGCGACGGCGACGTCGTCGAGGAGGAGACGCACGAGGCGGACGTGGTCGTCATGGCGACGGGCGTCGGCGCCGCGCGAGGGATCATCGCGTCGTCGCCGGATCTGAGAGACGCGGCGGGATTGCGAGGCTTTCTCGCGGATCCGGATCCGGATTCTGATGATCCAGATTCTTCGGGGATCGCGTCGACGAGCGTGATCGCGGTTCGGTTGTTCCTGGACGTCGCCGTGACGCTGCCGTGCAAGTCGAACGTCTGGGGCGGGTTCACGCTCGGGGCGTCGAGGGGATCGAAAAACGGAGGCGTGGAAGGCGTTACGGATACGGTCGGCACGGAGGACGTCGCCGGGACGTTTTTCGATCTGTGCGCGTTACACGACGAGTACCGCGACTTGAAAAAAGCGTCGTCGGACGCGTCGGACGACGTTCGGTCGGTCATCGAGGTGGACATGTACAACGCCGGCAGCGTGATCGACCTCGACGACGAAACGCTCGTGGAGATGGCGTTACGCGATATCCTCACCGCGTGCGTCCGCGACGTCGCGCCGGAGATTCAAGACGCCGTCGTCGTGGACTCGAGCGTCCTCCGGTTTAAAGACGGCGTCACGAAATTCGCGCCGGGCTCCGCGGTGGCGCTTCCGCGGACGACGCCGGCGGGGTTGGAGCGCGCGATGTTCTACGTCGCGGGCGATCACGTGTGGCAGGGCCCCGGGAGCCACGGCGCGCGAGGGTTGAGCCAGGAGAAGGCGCTCGTGAGCGGGATGGCCGCCGCGGACGCGGCGGCGGCGGCGTTCGGGAGAATCGCGGGTGAAGAATCGCGGCGCGCGACGTCGACGACGACGACGCGCGCGCCGGCGAGGATTTTGGACGTCGAGCCGGACGAGCCGCACGTCGCGGCGGCGAAGGACGCGCTGCGGGCCGCGGACGCGCTCGAGGCGTTCCTTCCTCGGCCGCCCCCGGGGTTTCCTCCTCTGTTCTGATGACGAGCATAGACCGTAGACTTGGATGCGTCCGATATCATAATCCGAGAGAAAACAGTCGAGAATTACCGACACGACTTCCGAGAGAAAACCGACGCGACGTCCTCGGTCGCCGCACACCCTCCCGCGACGCCGCCGCGCGCGCGCGTCCCCACGACTGCCCTCAGATCATGCCCTCGACCGCTCCCCCCCGCGACGCCGATCGCGTCATCGTCCGCGTTTCCGCCGTCGACGACGCGAACGGCGGTCGCGGCGGCGGCGTCGCGCGAGACGCCGGCGGTAACCCCGCGCGAACTACCAACCCGTGGGCGAACGAGGACGCGGTCGTGAACGTCTCGCTCGAGACGCCGCGCCGCGAGGACGGCCTCGGCAACGCCGCGTCCGCGTCCGCGTCTGCTGGCGGGACGAGGAGGAAGACGTCGATATCGTCGAGCGACGACCCGACCCCGGAGTGGCTGAAGGCGTTGGCGAGGGAGGACCGACCGGACGCGCGCTTCAAAGTTCCCGCGCGCTGGGTGACGCCCTTCCGCGGGTCCATGATCTGGTGGCTCGCGCCCGCGTTTCGCTTCGTGCAGATCGTCTTCGCCGCGCTCGCGATCGCGGTCGTCGCGTCGATGAACAGCGACGCGTCGGTCGCGTTCCCCGAGGCGCGTCCCCGTTCGCGCGGCGTTCCTTCGTTCGCGACTTCTCCCGCGCGTTTCCTCGGTTTCGCTTCCGACGCGCCTGCGCGACGCCTTTCGACTCCACTTCTGACGCCTTTCGACTCCACCCAAACGTCGCGTCGATTCGCGTGGTGGAACGACGACCCGAAGCGTCACTACCAAGACTTCACGTCGCTCGAGTGCCTCGTCGTCGTCTGCGCCGCGTCGTTGGCGTGGGGCGTCCTCTTCGTCTTCGTAGGCGCGTTCTATACACTGGTCCCCATACGACCGCGTCGGCGTGGTGAACGCCGTTCCTTAAGGACTTTTCCCGGCGTCTCTCTCCGCCCACCCCTCGCTCGGTTTCAATCCCCGCCCGCGATGCCTTTCAACGCCAACTGACGCCTTTGAACTCCACCCCGACATTCGCTCGTATGGAACGACCCTTAGACCTCGTCGGCGGTGGCAAGATGGGCCTCGGACGCGAGATCCGCCCGGGGAGCCGCGGCCTCGAGTGGGCGGCGAGTCACGGCGTCCCGCGCGTCGCGTTCGTCGGCGACTGCGCGCTGAGCGTGCTGTGCTTTGCGTCCGCGTGCGCCGTCGCCGGGTTGCGATCGGGCGTCGGCGAACTCGGGCGCGTTCTAGATATCTCACGCCGGTCCCCGTACGACCCCGTCGGCGCGTCGCGCGCCGTTCCTCGAGGCGTTCTTCTTTCGCGCGCTGTCCGCCACACGTTTCGACACGTGAGAACGTCATCAACCAATCGCGCGTCCAATTAACTGACACGTGTCTTCCCTCGGCCAATCAAACGACCCTCAGGATTAATTACTGCGACAACGCCGGGGGCAGATGGTGCGCGCAGATGGACGCGGGCGCGGTCTTCGCGTTCTTGACGGCGATCTCTGTCGTCCCGAGCGCGGTCGCGAACTCCATGAACTCGTGCGGGCCGTGGTGAGTAAGTTGTACTGTACTGTACCGTGCAGGTACCTACCTTCGTACGAAGGTACCTTCCTTCGTAGGCGCGTGAACGACGAGCGATGAACGACGTGTGACGTGGTCAACACAAAAAAATACTTTCGGCGCCGCCGCGAAATGTAGACTACTACGAAGGTAGATACTAGCGCCCCTCGCTCGCGAGAAGCTCCAGGAGCGCCTTCACGACCGGGCTGCTCGCGAGCTTCATCGAGTCGTCGTCCCCGTCCCCGTCCTCCTCGCGCGGTTGGTCGATATGTTTCTCTAACAGCGCGTCCACCGCCGCGCGCATCTCGCGAACGAGCACGCCGACGCGCGCGGGCGCGTCGAATTCCGCCCATCCGTCCATCGACAGCCGCCCCCTCGCGTGATCGACGACGAGCTCGCCGCCGAACAGCAGCAGCGCGTACGCGCCGACCATGGTGTTATCCCGGACGTACACCCTCGCGGTCTCGACGCGCTCGCTGTACACGAGCCACGGGGAGTCGAACTTCCCGGAGGCGACGTTGACGCTGCTCGGGTGAAGAAAGACGCGTCCGACGTCTTTGCAGAAATATTTTACCCCTCTCCCGTCGACGCTCTCCTTCTCTCGCGCGCCCCCCGCGGTGTTCACGAACTTCGTCTCCGGGTGCTGGACCCTGACGACTTGCGGGTAGAACCCCGCGACGAGCGCGGCTTTCACGACGCGCGCGACAGAAGCGTTGCGGTCGGCGTCGCCGCCGCCGGCGCCGTCGCGTCGCATCGCGCGCACGTACACGCGAGGAATGAACCCCAGGTCCGCCAACACCCCGGCGTAATCCAACCGGCTCGCCATGATCCCCTCCAGCGCCTGGTGCGATAAGAACCGCTCGTCCGCGTGCTTGCGTCGCGCGCCCGCGCCCGGGCACTTCCACCACGCCGCGTAGGCGGACGCCATCGTGAGATGGTCGCTCTTTCCCGGCGCGGCAATTTTTTTCTTCATCGCGTCCGCCTCGGCTTTCTTATCCTTCGGCGACACGAACAGCTGGCGTCCGCTCATCGCCGCCGCGATCGTGAGGATAGGGTCGAGACAGCCGAGCAGCGCGCCGAACAGGAGCATCTTGCCCACGCGCGCGTCCACGGGCATGTGCGCGAGGTGTTTTCCGAGCGGCGTCAGCGTTTCCGGATTGTTTGGATGTTTTTCCGCGTCGGACGATACCGCGCCGTCGGACGACGCCGACGTGGCACTGTCGCGGCGCACGTCCAGCGCTCGCAACGCCATCAGCTCGTCCAACGCCGCGCGCACGGCGTCGCGCGGCGGCGGCGTCGGCGCCGCGCACAGCGTCGTCTCCACCCCAACCCCGGGCGCCATCGCCTTGACGTTCAAACACAGCTGCTGCAGCGGCGTGCGAAGCATCTCCGGCGGCTGGTGATCGCTCATGCGCGCGAATTGCGCGCGCGAGAAGAGCGCGAAGCGAGCGCCGGGGGAGACGCGCCCGGCGCGCCCGCGTCGCTGCTTCGCCGCGGCTCTCGACACCCACGCGTCCGCGAGGACGCTCATCCCGCGAGTCGAATCGTGGCTGAGGGTCGAGGGTCCGCGCGAAGCGACAAACGTCGGGGTGGAGTCGAAAGGCGTCAGAAGCGGAGTTGAAAGGCGTCGCGGTGTGTCTGTCGGGGATTGTAAGCGAGGGGTACTGTAGTGGGTGGAGAGAAACGAACGCCGGGAGAGAAAGTCCTTAAGGATCGGCGTTCACCACGCGAACGCGGTCGTATGAGAACCAGTGTGGGAATAGAACGCGCCTCATCTCTTTCGCACGGCCGGCGTCGACGACGTAGCGCACGTCGTCGATGGTCACCGACGTCTCGGCGATGTTCGTCGCGACGACGATCTTCCTCGCGCCGCGCGGGGGAGGCGCGAAGATTTTGCGCTGGTCCGCGCCGCTCAGGGCGCCGTACAGCGGGAGGAACAGCAGCTCGCCGACGTCGTGCGGCTCCAGGAACTGCGAACGCTCGAGCTGGCGAATCAACCGATTGATCTCCGCTTGCCCGGGAAGAAAGACGAGAATCGCGCCCTTCGAGTCGCTCTCCCCGGGCGATCGTTTCCCTCCTCTCCCGGGCGCGGCGGACGGCGCGACGAGCGCGCGCTCGCCTTCGCTGAGCTCCACGCGAATGATCTTCGCGATCAACCGCTCGATGAGCTCGTAGTTTAACAGCGACTCGTCCACGTTCGCGATCGATCGTCGCGTGGCTTCGCCGTACGACGCTTCGTTCGCGAGGTTCGCCGACGCGAACGCGAGTTCGTCGCGTTTCGCCCTCGCGGCGTCGTCCGCGGCGGCGTCCGCGCGCGCGGCGCCCGTCTTCGCCGCTCTCGCGCGCGCCCGCGTCGCGTCGGCGTCGGTGTCCCAGAGTGTGTCGGACGCTGACGTGGCGTCGTCGGACGTCGCGGTCGCGGTCGGCGCGACGCGGTCCTCGGGGGTCTCTTCCCAGGTCTCCGGGACGTCCTCCTCCTCGACGGGCGGCGCGGGCGACGCGGCGTCGTCCGCGGCGTCGGCGTCGGCGACGGCGTCGGCGTCGGCGGCGTCGGTGGCGGCGTCGGCGTCGGCGCGCATCTCGACGGTATCGATCAACAGGATGTCCTCACCGCCGCCGCCGCCGCCGCTTCCCTTCTTCTTCGCGTATTTACTCGCCTTACCGATCGCGTACCCGGTCAACTCGAGGACGTCCTCCAAGAAGTACTCCCGCACCGGGTGCGTGAACCCTTCGATGAACACCTTCGAGGACGGCGTCGCGACGACGCCGCCGGCGGCGACGCTCGCGGCGCTGGGCTCTGAGGGTCGTTCCATACAAAGCGACGTCGGGGTGGAGTTGAAAGGTGTCAGGTGGAGTTGAAAGGCGTCGAGGGCGGGGATTGAAAGGAAGGGGTGGGCGGAGAGATGCGCCGGCAAAAGTCCTTAAGGATCGGCGTTCACCACGCCAACGCGGTCGTATGGAGACCAGTGTATAGAACGCACCTGAGAAATACGCCGCGAAGAAATCCGCGTCGGCGGTGGCGGACATGAGCACGATCTTCAAATCTTTCCTCGCGCCGCATATCACGCGTCGGAGCAACAGCAGCAACAGATCGCTCTCGACGCTCCGCTCGTGGACTTCGTCTAGGACGACGTGCGTGACGCTGGCGAGCGACGGGTCGCCGAGGAGCCGTCGCAACAGGACGCCCATCGTGCAAAAATGCAGCCGCGTCCGACGCGACGTCTTGGACTCCAACCGCACGGTGTACCTATACGAGCGATGATATCGGGGTGGAGTTGAAAGGCGTCAGAAGCGGAGTTGAAAGGCGTCGAGGACGGGGATTGAAACCGAGGGACCCTGGGCGGAGAGACACGCCGGGAGAGAAAGTCCTTAAGGAACGGCGTTCACCACGCCGACGCGGTCGTATGGGGACCAGTGTATAGAACGCACCCGACGACGTCGCCGCAGTTCTCCACGCGCTCGCTCGCGACGCGCTCCGCGAGCCCGATCGCGCTGATCCGCCGCGGTTGCGTGCACACGATGTTGCACGACCCGCCAGCGCGCTTATCGATCGCGCTCTCCAAGATGAACTGCGGCACTTGCGTGGATTTCCCGCAGCCCGTCTCGCCGGATAAGACGACGACGGGGGAGCCGTCGACCGCGCGGACCACCTCTTCGCGCGACGCCGACGCCGGGAGGTTCGCCCTGGTGGCGACCATCTTGGACGCTGCGCCGCTCCCGCCGCCTCCGCTGAAGTAGGACTCCTGCGCGGCTTTCAGACGCGCGCTCTCCGCCGCCGCCTCCGACGGGGACAACGCGGCGTCGCGGCCGCGGGGGCGGTTTCGATCTCGGTCGGTCCCCCGGGTGCCGACTTTGGGTGCCGACTTCGTGGGCGTCGAGGACGCGCGCGGCGGCGCGGCGACGACGGCGACGCCCGCGCGCGGGGCCGGGATGGAAGACGACGACGCCTTCGCCGCGCCGACGACGATTTCTTCCTTTTCTTCCTTCACGGCGTCGGTCTCCTCCTCCTCCTCTTCCTCCTCTTCCCCCGCGCCTTCTCCCGGCGCCGGCGCGTCCGCGCGCTCGGCCAACGCCCCCGGGAGCAACTCCGCGAGGCTGTGCACGCACGGGATCCCGTCCTCGGCGGCGGCGGCCGCGGCGGCGGCGAGCGACGCCGTCGCCGCGCGCAGCGCCCCTCGAGACGTCGCGCCGTCGCCGGAAGCCGCCGCCAACGAAATCGTCGGCGGCTCCTCCGTCGGGTAGCCTCCCCCCGAGGGCCTCCGCACCTCCAGCGCGACCTTACCTTTCCCACCGCGGCCGTCGTCCACGTCCACGGTCACGATCACGACGTCGCGGGACGGGCGCGAGACGACGTCGTCGCCGAAGATGGCCTCGACGGCGACGAGCTCGTCTTCCCACGGATCGTCGCCGCCGTCGTCGTCGTCGTCGCCGCCGCCGCCGCCGCCGCCGCGTTCGCCGCCGCCGCCGCCGGTCGACGGCCACGCGCTCCAATCCCTCCCGTCCGTCGCGCGGACGAGCGTCTCGCGAAACAGCGCCTCCAGCGCGCGGTCGCGACCGCCGCCGTCCGCGGCCGCCAGCGCGTCGCTCGCCTCCGCCGCGGTGTACCCGCGGTCCCAAAGCCACGCGGCGTCCGCGTCCGACGGCCTCGCCTCCGCCGCGCGACGCTCTGGACGCTTCGGTTTCGGTTTCGATCCGCCGAAACCGCCGCCGTCACTCCCCGCCTTCGACCCCGCGGGCGCGAACGCGGCGGCGGTGTCCATCAACACCACGCCGTCGCTCTTCGCGTCCGGGGCGAACGTCCTCGGCAGCCGCGACTCCGGGACGTTTAACACGAGCCAATCCAACGCCGCGTCCTTCGCGTCTCTTCGCGTTCCGGATCTCACGACCTGAACCGCCGCGGTCGCGTCCGAGGTGGTGAACCCTAACGTCGCGAGCGCCGCGGTCAGCGCCGTCGCGGCGTCGTCGTCCAAGGCGGTCGTCTCTCCCCCGTCGTCGTCGCGCGCTCCGTCGCCGTCGCCGGAGATGCCTCGCAGCAATCCCTCGACCTGGTGCCTTTTCTCCTCGGACATGTGCAGCGTCTCTCGCTGCCGCTCCTTCGGTCTGTGCTTCGCGCGTCGCTCCCTCGCTTCCGCGTCCCTCGCCGCTTTCTCCGCCTTGAGCCGCCCCTTCTCCTCCAGGCTCGCGAACGCGTCGCGGTACTCCGCCGGGAGCAACCGCGTCAGCGGCAAATTATTCGCCACCCTCTATGCGAGCGAATGTCGGGGTGGAGTTGAAAGGCGTCAGTTGAAGTTGAAAGGCGCCGAGGACGGGGATTGAAAGCGAGGGGTGGGCGGAGAGACACGCCGGGAAAAGTCCTTAAGGATCGGCGTTCACCACGCCGACGCGGTCGTACGGGAACCAGTGTATAGAACGCACCGCGAGCGCGGCGACGGCGCCGTGCTGCGTCGCTGCCTCCTTGCTCGCGCGCGGCTCCCCGTCGCTGAAGACGACGACGTCCTTCTCCGGCTTGTACTTGTCCGCGATGACCACCTTGCAGCTCCATCCTTTCCCGTCCGGCTCCTCTTTGAGGACGTACTTCGGCTTCTTCGAGTCCTTCTTCTTCGAGATGTACTCCTGAAGGATGATCTTCGGTTCTCGCGTGGACGCGCGGAAGACGACGCCCTCTCGCATCGGCCCCTTATAATTCTCTTCCCGTCGCGTCGCCGCGTCCGCGTTGTTACCGCCGCGGCCGCCGCGGTCGCCGCCGCCGGGCGTCTTCGCGGCGTCCGCGCCCGCCGCTTCCGCTTCCGCTTTCGCTTTCGCCGCCGCGGCAGCCTCTTCCACCTCTTTCGCGTGGTGCTTCGCGACGTGCTGCTTCAGGCGGTCTTGCTGCTTGAAAAGCCGGTCGCAGTGCGGGCACGGGAGCTCCTTCGGCTTCAGCGACGCCGGGTCCGGGCCTTTGTTCGACATCCCCGCGGCGCCGGTGGAGACGATCCCGCGCTTGAGCTTCGCGGCGGCCTTCTTGTTGAAGTTTTCCGCGCTGCGCTGCGAGGGCGCCATCGGATCGGATCGCGCGGAAAAGAACGCGCCGCTGTCGCGCCTTCTCGCGGCGGGCGAGTCCGCGGGCGCGATCGCCCGCGCCTCGCTGTGCTCCGCTCGCGCGCCGCGTTCGTCGCCTATCTCCGCGTCGTCGTCGGCGGCATCGTCGCCGTGGAGTGGTGCGCGCGACGGTCGACGCTGTGGCGGGGGCGGCGGGGGGATCGATCTCGAACGAACCTCGCGCAAAAAACCAGCTGCCAGCACGCACAGCTGGCAGGGTGCCGACAGCGCAGCGACGCGACGCCGACAGATCTCCGCGCGCGCGCCCTCCGCTGTCGTCGCGTCGCGTCGATCATGGCGTCATGCGCGCGCGTCGCGTCCGCATCCGCGTCCTCTTCGCCGCGCGCGTCGCCGCCGCCGTCCTCGCGCCGACGCGCGCCGACGCGCGCGCGCCATCACCGAACGCGTCGGCGTTCGACGATCGCGAGGGATGATGATGACGCGATCGACGACGACGTCGCGACGACGACGTCCTCCTCCTCGTCCATCGCCGACGCGGAGGCGCTGCTGATCTCGCGCCTGTCCAGCCTTCCCGGCCGCGGCGCGAACGCGTCCGCCGCGGACGAGGAGGCCATCGCCGCGGCGCTCGCCGTCCTCGAGGCGGACGGCGGCATCGCGCGCCCGGCGACGCGAGACGAAATCTGCGGGACGTGGCGACTCCTGTACACGTCCAAGTCGGCGTTCGACCCGCGGAACCCGCTCGGGAAGCGCGCGGACGGCAGCGCGCCGGGGATCGAGGGGTTGTTTAGGGCCGTGTTCGGGGACGACGCGGGAGAGAAGATGGCGGCGGGGATGACGAGCGCGGCGTCGTCGAGCCCGATACAGAGAACCGTGACGTCGCTGGAGGCGTTCACGATCCAGGCGCGTTCACGCTGTTATTACACCGGTCCCCATACGACCGCGTTCGCGTGGTGCACGCCGTTCCTTAAGGACTTTACTTCCCGGCGGTCGTTCCTCTCCGCCCACTACCCCTCGCTGCTTTCAATCCCGACGCACCCACCTCGACGCCTCACGACTCCGCTTCTGACGCGCCCCTGAACTCCGCCCCGACGTCGCGACGTCGCTTCGCGCGGATCGTCGACGCGCAGCAAGCCATCCGTCTTCGCGGCCGCGACGACGACCGCGTCGACCAGATCGTGCAGTTCGGGGACTCGGGGTACCTGCGACTCAGCGCCGCCGCGAGCGTGGACGAGGCGAGCGCGCCGAGCCGGATAGACTTCGCGTTCGACCTGGCGTACTTCGAGATCAGATCGCTTCCGCCGTTCGGGTTTAAACCTCCGGGGGGTCCGATTCGGTGAGACTGCTTCCCATACGACCCCGTTCGCGTGGTGCACGCCGTTCCTTAAGGACTTTTCCCGTCGTCACTCTTCACCCGCGCTTCCCTTTCAACGTTTGACCGGTAAGACGTTCGACTGACCGATCGCTTCACCCACGCAGGATTCCCTACCCGGTGCCGTTTAAACTCCTCGGCGACGAAGCGAAAGGGTGGCTCGAGACGACGTACCTCGGCGCGGACGTGAGGGTCAGCAAGGGGAACAAAGGGACGACGTTCGTGCTCGTGAGAGAGGCGAGCGACGGCACGGGGACGCCGTTGCCGTACGAGTTTTAGGCGGCGACGGGGAGACGTCTGGTACGCTCGGATCGTCGGCGTCGTAACTTATTATTATTTTTCCAAAGCCGTGATGAGGTCACCGCGCGAGCCGTACCCGCCGCGTCACGCGTCGTCGCCACCGCCGCCGCCGCCCGGCGTTCCCGGACCCGTGGAGTTCCTGCGCGGCACGTAAACGACCGGACCGTACGGCGTATCCTGCAGCGGCACGCCCGTCGCGACGCCCGTAACCTTATTCCCTTTAATTCCTTTTCCTCCGCCTCCCCCGCCGTTCTTCGCTCGCTTCGCGACGTCGACGACGCGAACGAACGCCCTCTCGAGCGTCGCGCGCTCGCACGCGCGCACGACACACGCCGCCGCCTCGCCGACGCACCCGCGCCCCGCCGGCTTTAGGGGCCCGTGCGCCTTCCTCGCCGCCTCGAGGTCGCTCTCGACGTCGCCCTCCGGCAACGCCGCGCCTCGCGCTTCGATCACCGCGAGCGCCGCCTCCGTCACTGAGGGGTCGAGGGTTCATACGAAGCGACGTACGTCGGGGTGGAGTTGAAAGGCGTCAGAAGCGGAGTTGAAAGGCGTCGAGGTGGGTGCGTCGGGATTGAAAGCAGCGAGGGGTGATGGGCGGATAGAAACGACCGCCGGGAAGTAAAGTCCTCAAGGAATGAAGTTCACGACGCGAACGCGGTCGTACAGGGACCGGCGTGGAAATATCATAGAACGCGCCTGATTCGTTCGACGCGAGCAGCTCGTCCTCCGATTTCGTGATGGCGATCGGCAGCTTCGTCGTCGCGTCCGTCGCGCTCGCGTCGTCCGGGTCCGTGCACGCGACGGTCAGGACGAGGAGGAGATCGCGCGAGAGCCCGCCGTCCGCGTCGACGTCGTACGCGCCGCCGGACCAGCCTTTGGAGTTGAAAGGCGTCAGAAGCGGAGTTGAAAGGCGTTGAGGGCGTGGATTGAAAGCGAGGGACCCTGGGCGGAGAGATGCGCCGGGAAAAGTCCTTAAGGATCGGCGTTCACCACGCCGACGCGGTCGTATGGGGACCAGTGTATAGAACGCACCCGCGGCTTTCGCTGCGGCGGCGCCCGCCGACGTCATGTCTTCGTCGGCGTCTTCGGCGTCTTCGGAGTCGGCGTCGGAGTCGTAGTCGTGATCGTCGAGCAAGTCCTCCGCGTCGTCGAGGACGTCCTCCCCGAGCACGCCGATCAAAACCTCTCTCGGGATCATCACGCCGCCGCGCGCGTTGTCCCACTCGCAGAAGCCGTACTTGTGAAGCAGCAGCGCGTTCCCGTGGTCGCCGAAGGTGTTGAAGAGTTCGTCGCCCGCGCCGGCGGCTCTGACCGCGTCGATCGTCAGCACGCCGTCGACGTCTCGCGTCGAACGCAGCCCCGCGATCTCGTTCACGCCGGGGTCCGTGTTGCCCTCCTCGTACGTCGCCGGCGGCGGCGTCGCCCCGCTCGGGGGAGCCCGAGGGTCGCGCGCATCCACCGGCGGGTCGATCTTCGTGAGGTAGCCGAGACCCGGCGTGGGCTCCTTACCCCCGGTGAAGTGCACGTGCTCTCTCCCGCCGCCCGCGTGGTTGAACAGGTCCGCGATCGGCACCAACCCCTGCCCTTGCTCGTCGTCGACGTGGAACGCGCGGCTCGCGACGATGGACGCCGCGGAGAGGAACGCGTCGTACCCGGCGGGGCCGTCGCGGCGCTCGACGAGCCGCGGGCCGTTGCCTTCCTCGTCGTCGACGTCGTCGGATTTCGCGGATTTCGTCGACCTCGTCTCGTCGTCGTCGTCGTCGTCGTCGTCGTCGTCCGCGGGGACCTTCGCGGGCGCTTTCTTATCCGGGAAGAAGTGCCGGAGCGAGGACTCGTGCGCGCGGCACGTCTCCATGATCCGCTCGTGGTCGTACCGCATCGCGGGCTCGTCGTTTTCGATCCTGGATAACACGTCCGTGCCCTCCAACCACGCCTCGGCTTTGTCGTCGGTCCACAGGCACGGCAGGTCCTCCGAGCTCGGGAGGATGGAAAAGTACGGATACCACGGCGACTTCTCGCCCATCGCGCGCTCGTACATCACGGCGAGAACGAGCGCCGCGTCCTCCAGGTCGTCGAGGTCGTCCATCGGGACGACGAGCGAGATGGAGCTGTTGGAGGGGGTGAGGCACCACGCCTTGGGGATCACCGCGAGCGCGTCGCCCGGGGCGATGGCGCCGACGGCGTAGACCGCGTTGTGTCGTCCTCCGCCGTCGCCGTCGCCGCCGGCGCCGCCCGCGACCGCGGCGGCGTCGTTCACGAGCGAGACGTTCGGGTGGAGCTCGAAGCCGCGGTCGATCGACCACTTCGTGAACGCCGCCAGCGCGTCGTCCTGGGCGGGCGGCGGCGCGGGGGCGTCGCCGCCGCCGGACGCCGTGGCCGCCGCCGCGTGGAATCGAGCGCCGGACGATGATTTTGTCTTCTTCGATCCTCGATGATGATGATGAGGACCGGCTCCGCCGCCCTTGCCGCCGCCGCGCTTGTTCTTCGGCATCGTCGCGCTGTGCCGGAGGGCGTTCGTGCGGGCGTTGAACGCGCGCGCGAGGGTTCGGCACGCGTGCATGTGCCACTGACGACGCGCGCGCCGCGCCGCGTTCGGTCGTTCCGATCGATCGATCGATCGTTGATATTTTTTATTCGTCGCGATCGCGGCACGACTCGGCAACGCGGCACCCTCTCGCCCATCCATCACTCGCGCCGGCGCGGCGGGGGCTGACGACGACGACGGCGACGACGATGTCCGCGCCCGCGCGCTGCCCGCTCGCGGCGACCGCGACGGGGAGGAAACTCGAGCGCGCCGCCGCCGCGGCCGCGGCGGCGGCGCGCGCGCGCGGTCGTCGACGCCGCCGCCGCGCGCATCCTCCGCGCCCGCGCTGGACCACCGCCGTTGCCGCCGCGTCGTCGCCGTCGCCGTCGCCGCCGTCGGACGACGACGACGACGACATCCCGGTGCTCGACGCCGCGGGCGTCCACGCGCGGCTCGCGTCGCGGACGCACGACGCGGCGAAGGACACGTTCGCGGCGTTTTACTCCTCGTGGTGCGTCCGCAGCGGCGACCGCGACGACGGACGACGCGACGCGCGACGCGCGACGCGCGCGCGCGCGCGCGCGGTCGCGAGATGAGATTTCGCGCTCGAAAAGAATGAGAACTAACAACCGACGCCCCGCCCCGCCGTCTCGCGCTCTCCCCGATCGACCGACGCGCAGGACCGGGTGCATCACGACCGACCCGGCCGCGATTGTCCTCCCGTTCGACGACCACATGGTCCACCGCGGGCACGGCGTCTTCGACACCGCGCACCTCGAGGCGCGTTCTGGTTACGCTGGTCCCCATACGATCCCGTTCGCGTGGTGAACGCCGATCCTTAAGGACTTTTCCCGTCTCACCCCGCGTCTCTTTCGACTCCGTCTGACGCCTGCCCCTGAACTCCACCCCGACATTCATTCGTCGCTTCGCGCGGAACGACCCGACCCTCAGAACGGCGCGCTGCACCTCCTGGACCGGCACCTCGCGAGGTTTAAGAGGTCGATGGCGGCGGCGCGCGTGCCGCCGCCGTTCGGGGACGGGGACGGGGATGGGGACGACTGCGCGGAAAAGATGAAGGCCATCATCCTCCGCGTCGCCGCCGCGTCCGGGGTGAGAGATCACGGGCAGGTTCGGTACTACGCCTCCGCGGGTCCGGGCGGGTTCGCGCTGTCGCGCGAGGAGTGCGTGCGAAGCGTGTTTTACGTCGTCGTCGTGAGGAAAAAGAGACGCGCGGGCGCGGGTGAAAAACCGAAACGGTTGAGGGTCGTGACGACTCCGATACCGATGAAACCCGGCGTCTTCGCGACGACGAAGACGACCAACTACCTCCCGAACGCGCTCGTCGTCGCGGACGCGATCGATAAGCGCGCGGACGTCGGTTTGTGGGTCACGGAGAACGGGTTCGTGGGCGAGGGGCCGTCGATGAACGTCGCGTTTTTGGTTCCAGCCGACGACGCCGGCGGCGGCGGCGGCGGCGACGAAGAGGATGAAACGGTCTGCGGGGAAGCGTTTAAAACCAACAAAAAATGGAAGCTGGTGTCTCCGCCGACGTCGAACATCCTCGCCGGGTGCACGGTCGCGCGCGTCGCGGAGCTCGTGAACGACGCGAAAGTCTTGGAACACCTGAACGTCGCCGCGTTTGAGTTTCGAGACGTCGGCGTCGAGGAAGGGAAACGCGCGCGAGAGACGATGCTGATCGGGTCGGGTGCGTCCTCGTTCGCATTTACACTGGTTCCCATACGACCGCGTCCGCGTTGTGAACGCTGATCCTTAAGGACTTTCGCCGGCTTCTCTCTCCTCCCACCCCTCGGTTTCAATACCCGACCTCGGCGCCTTTCAACTTCAACTGACGCCTATGAACTCCACCCCGACGCGCGCGGAACGACCCGCTCAGTGATTCACGTGGCGCCCGTGGTGGAATGGGACGGCGAGGCGGTGGGGGATGAAACGACGACGGAAACGCCGATAGCGGATGCGTTACACGCCGCGGTCGTGCGCGACATCGCGACGAACGTCCCGGAGCTCACGCCCGTGCCGTACGAGCTCTACGAATAGGCGGGTGGGTGGTGGTGGATCAGCGAGCAAACTGAACGAAATCGCGAAACCTCACTCAAACTGCGATCGTAGTGGCCCACGACTCCACTCGAACCCGCGCGATGCGTGCGAGCGCGTTCGCGTCTTCGCCGCATCGCGGCACCTTCTTCGTCGTCGCCCTCGCGATCGCGTGCCTTCTCGCGGGATATCTCACCGCGAACGTCGTTCGAACCGAAACGGACGAGGCGCGGGTAGCGCTCGAGGCGCGGAGGAGGAGCCCGATCGATAGCACAGCGACTAAGGAGAGATGGTCGGCGTCGTCGTCTTCCGTCGTCGCCTCTCGAGGATCGCGCGACGACGACCGCGCGAGATACGACGACGACGAGGACGAGATGCGCGTCGTCGTCCGCGCGACGCTCGAGGACCTGAAGCGTGAGGGCGCGCGGACGGGCGACAACAAGAGGCGCGACGCCGTCGACGCGCGGGACCGCGCGCCGGGGCGTCCTCCGATCGAGGCGTCCGATTCCGAATCCGACGACGCTCTCCGACGAAGCCTCGAAGACGACGTGTGCGCGGCGTTGAAGCGGAACAGAAGCGACGACTTGCCGTACACTGAGGACAAGTGGAACTTGAACGTCTATCCGAGCCGCGACGGCTCGAGGGAGTTCGTGTTGTGCGCGTCCGCGAAGACGGGGTGCTCGCAGTGGGTCATGCTGCTGAACTATCTGTGGAACGGCAAAAAGATAGTCCCGAAGAGTAAGAGCGCGAACGGCGCCGGCGACGAATCGTCGCTCGGCGACATCCACTTGACGGGCGCGAGGCAGGCGACCGTTGTCAAGAGCGACAGCGCCGTCCTGCGCGACGCTTCGGTGCCGAGAATTCTCATCATGAGAGATCCGTACGAGCGCACGGTGAGCTCGTATCACGACTTCCGTCGACGAAACGCGGCGTCGGACGACGCGGCGCACAGAGACGGGCTGAGGTGCGTTCTCCTTCACACTGGTCCCCATACGACCGCGTTCGCGTGGTGAACGCCGTTCCTTAAGGACTTTTGCCGGCGTTTCTCTCCGCCCAGGGTCCCTCGCTATCAATCCCGACACACCTCGACGCCTTTCAACTCCGCTTCTGACGCCTATAAACTCCACCCCGACGTCGCTTTGTATGGAACGACACTGAGGAACGTCACGTTCGAAGAGTTCATCGTTCAGCACGTTCAAGGCGACGCGCGATCGGCGCAGAATCGCGATCACCGCTCGCCCATCAGCGATCACTGCTCGATCAAGACGTGGCGGCAGCGCGGGTGGGATTACGTGCTTCAACTCGAGCAGATGAGCCTGTGGCTTCCGTGCGTGTTGCGGACGTTGCGTCTCGAGGACGTCGTGCGCTCGGGGTGGTACGGCGACTCGTCGCTGTTTAACGTGCCCGACCGACCGACCGTTCAGGACGTCATCCGCGTCGCTCTCGGGGGGAGCGACGCGAAGAGGGCGGCGCGCGGCGCGACGAAAGCCGTCGTCATCGGTCACGAGGCGCCGGACGACGAGGATTTGCACACGCGCGCGACCATCGAGATCGTCAATCGCGTCTTCCACGACGATTTCGTGATCGGAGGGTACAAGCTGCGCGAGTCGTAGACAGACTCCGCGTGCGTAGACCACGAAGGGACGAAAGACCCACCTTCGACGTAGATAGCATCGTAGTCGAGTAGATTTGAGTAGAGTACAACTAAGGTACAACGAAGGTAGAGTCCAGTCGAGGACACGGGCTACATGGTTCGGCGTCTGACGTTGGTTCATCTCCGATCGTCGCCGTCGTCTCTCGACGCGGCGTCCGACTTGGCCCGCATCTCTTCTATGAGCCCCTCCATCTTTTGCCCAACCTCCGACCACCACCCCGCGCCGCCATCCCCGAGGCCGCCGTCCCCGTCCCCGTCCCCGTCCCGGACGCGTCGCTCCGGGTTCTCGAACGCGTCCTCCGCCTCCCACCGCCTCTCCCGCTCCGCCATGACGCCCTCGATGTCTTGCAGCGCCAACCCCTTCGTCTCGAACACTGATGAGTAGGGGTCGTTCCATACAAAAAATGTTCACACATCGGTCAGTTGAAAGGGACCATCACCACGCGATCGATCAAACGTGGAAGAAACCGAGCGGCGGGCGAAACACAACACGATATGTGCATGCGATACGATACGAGAGAACGCACCCAAGTTGTCCACGAAGACGAATCCGGTGAAACACAAGACCGCGTACAGCGCGTACGTGCCGCCGAGACCGATCCCACTGACGAGGGGTAAGAAGGACGCGCCCACGATCGTGTTCGCGCCGTAGTTGATCGCGGTGCACACCGCGGTCGCGCGCGCGCGGATCCGCGTCGGGAACACCTCGTTGTACAGCAAGGTTGTACAGCGAACGTCGGGGTGAGGTTCAAAGGCGTCAGTTGGAGTTGAAAGGCGTCGAGGGCGGGGATTGAAAGCGAGGGACCCTGGGCGGAGAGATACGCCGGGCAAAGTCCTTAAGGATCGGCGTTCACCACGCGAACGCGGTCGTATGGGGATCAGTGTACAGAACGAACCTCGTTGTACAGCAACCACGGCACGGGCCCGGCGCCGAGGGAAAACAGCAGCGTGTACGCTGGAATCGTCACGAGCGCGACGGTCCGCTGCGGCTCAAACGTCAGCCGCTCGAGCGTGGACGGCGGCGGAAGGTCGCTACATATCGCGGCGAGGGTCGAACACGTGACGCACGGTAACCCGGACGTCGCCTCGGGCGTGGACACCGCGCAGAACGAGTTGACCGCCTCCCCTGGCGTCAGCGCGCTCGCGAGCGACAACGCGCCTAAACACGCCGCCATGCCGCCGAACGACAGCAGCAGCAGAGGCCGGCGGCCGTACTTATCCGTCGCGATCAGCGCGATGAACGCGCCGAGGAGGTTCGGTATGCCCACCGCGTACGTCAACAGCGACGGATCGGACAACCCGGCGTCGGCGAGCACCGACGACGCGTAGTAAATCACCGTGTTCGAGCCGCTAAACGCGGCGAGCACGCACAGGCCCAAGCCGATGGTGACCGGCTGCCTGTTTCGACGCTCGCGAAGCTGCGACCACGAGTTGATCGCCGCCCGTTCCGGGTCCGCGCCGGGGTACGCGCACTCGCCGTCGCCGTCGCCGTCGTCTTCGTCCGCGTCGGTTGACGTTCCGTCTTCCGCGTCTTCGTCCGCGGCGGGTCCGAGCGGCGACGGGACCACCGTGCCCGCCGCGCCCAGGCCGATGACGACCCTCCCGCCCGTCGTCGCCTCCTGCCATCGCACCGCGGCTCTCCCTCTGATGCCTTGCAATCGCGCGAGCGAACGTCGGCTCGCCATCGCGCAGCCCTCCGGGCCGAGGAGCCACACCGGGGATTCGACCGCGACGCCGCCTAAGGACGCGCCGGCGAGTAAGACGGCGGGGACGGACGCGTAGATAAACAGAGGGCGCCACCACCCGGGCGGCGGCTTCGCCGGGTCGGCGGCGGCGGGGGCCGACGCGGGCGTCGACGCGGACGCCGACTTCGCGCTCGTCGACGCGCCTGAGGTCGAGGTCGAGGTCGAGGTCGACGTCGACGTCGACGACGCCGACGCCGATTCCGCCGACTTCGCGCCGCCGCCGACGGAGCTCGACGACGTCTTCACCTTCTCTTCGATTCGCGTCACCGCGTCCGCTTCGAGCTTCGCGACGAGCTTCTCTTTCGTCGCGGGTTGTTTGGCGGCGGGCGCGGCGGCGGTTTCGTCCGACGTCGCCGTCGCCGTCGTCGCCGTCGCCGTCGCGGAAGCGGCGGAAGGGACCGGAACCTTCTCCTTCGTCTCCGAACCGGAACCGGGTTTCGACGCCGCCGCGGGCTTCGCGGGAGCGGCGTCCCCGCCGACAGCCGGCGCTTCTTTTTCCTTATCGACGACCATCGCCTTCGCCTTCTCCGGTTTCGTCGCCGTCGCCGTCGCCGTCGCCGTCGCCGTCGACTCTTTCGGCGACTCTTTCGGCGACTCTCTCGCGCCCGGGGCCCCCGCGAGCGGCGCCGCGTCCTTAGACCCGGACGCTTTCGCGCCCGGGCCCCCCCCGAGCACGTCCTTCGACGCGGACGCTTTCGTCGCCTCCGCGTACGCCGCCTCGGTCGCGTCCTTCGGTCGCTCCGCCGCCGCTGAAGCCGGCGGCTTCGGCGGTTTCTCGGACTCCGTGGCGGCGCTCGTAGGTTTCGTCGCGTCCGCGGTCTTTTCGGTCTTTTCGGACGTCGCCGCCGCGTCCTTAGGGCCGTTCTATACAAGCGAAAGTCGGGGTGGAGTTGAAAGGCGTCAGTTGGAGTTGAAAGGCGCCGAGGGCGGGTATTGAAAGGGAGGGGTGGTCGGAGAGATGCGCCGGGCAAAGTCCTTAAGGATCGGCGTCCACATCGCCAACGCGGTCGTATGGGGACCAGTGTATAGAACGCGCCTTCGTCTTCGCGTCCGACTTTTTTTCTTTTTCCGCCGCCGCCGCCGCCGACGACGACGCCGACGCGTCCTCTCCCACCACCGCCGCGCCGCCGCCGCCGCCGCTCGCCCGAGACGTCGTCGCCGTCGTCTCTGTCGGCGTCGTCGTCGTCGTCGTCGACGACGACGACGCGACCTCCGGCGCTCGCTTGACGTCGCTCGGGCGCGCCGCCGACGCCGCCGCCGCCGCCGACGACTTCTCCCCCCCCTCAGTCCCTTTCCCGCCCCCTCTCGTCGCCTCCGCGACGACGACGACGTCGTCCGCCCCCGCGCCGCTCCTCTCCGTCGTCGTCTCCGCGTCCGCCACCACCGCATTCAGCGGCTGCTGCAGCGGCACCGCGAACTGAAACGCGAGCAAGCACCCGATCACGTACGCGACCCTCCGGACGCCGTTCACCGTCCCCCTCAGGGTCGTTCCATACAAAGCGATGTCGGGGTGGAGTTGAAAGGCGTCAGAAGCGGAGTTGAAAGGCATCGCGGTCGGGGATTGAAACCGAGGGGTGGGCGGAGAGAGGCGACGGCAAAAGTCCTTAAGAAACGGCGTTCACCACGCTAACGCGGTCGTATGGGGACCAGTGTACGGAACGCACCGCAGCTTCGGCGGGGAAACCTCCGAGAGGTACAGCGGCACGATCTGCGACGACGCGCCGACGCCGACGCCGGTGATGAACCTCCCCAACGTCATCCACGCGAACGAGTCCGCGAAGCCGCTCACGAGCGTCCCGACCGCGAGCGGGACCGTGACCGCGGCGAGCGCCGCGCGCCGGCCTTCTTTATCCGCCACCGGTCCGATGCCTAACCCGCCGAGAAACCCGCCCGCGACGAGGACTGAGGGTCGAGGGTCCATACGAAGCGACGTCGGGGTGGAGTTTATAGGCGTCAGAAGTGGAGTTGAAAGGCGTCGAGGTGTGTCTGGATTGAAAGCGAGGGGTAGTGGGCGGAGAGAAACGCCGGCGAAAGTCCTTAAGGAGTGACATTCACCACGCGAACGGGGTCGTATGGGAACCAATTTATAGAAGAACGCACCTGACACCACCGCGCCCTTCATGACGTTATCGCCCGCGAAGCCGAGGTCCTCCGCGATCGCGCTCAGAGGCGCGTTGATCACCGCGGAGTGGTATCCGAAGAGGAACGCGCCGAGGCACGCGGCGGAGACGGACGGGATCAGCGCGGGGCCGACGTTCTCGAACCCTCCTCCGCCCGCGTCGTCGTCGTCGTCGTCGTCGTCGTCGTCGTCGTCCGCGTCGCCGCGCCTCGCGTCCTCCTCCGCCGCGTCCGCGTCGACGACGACGTCCGCGGACGACGAAGACGACGACGAAGACGCCGCCGCCGCCGTCGTCGTCGACCTGGCGGCGTCGCCGTCGCCGTCGCGATCGCTCGCCGTCGCGCGGACGCGCGCGCCGATCGCGCGAGGAGAGAAGAAGCGCGCGACGACGGGTGCCCGCTCGCCCCTGCGATGTATCATCGCCGCGACGTCGACGCGCGCGCGCCGCGCGCGTCCGACCGCGGAACGCGTCTCGCGCCACCCGCCGACGCGATGACGCGCCGCCGCGCGCGCGTCGACGACGGACCTCATCCCGGCGGTCGCCCCCTCCCCGGGATGGTCGCGCCCCCGGATATGCCGCTTTCCCGCGCTTCGCTTCGTCGACGCGGTGAGGTCCAGTCAGGTCCTTTCGCGGCGTCTCGTCAGCACGCCGGTTCGCCTTCTCGCCGCGCTGTCGAACCGCCACCGTTTCGCCCCGCGCGTCACTTCCCTCGCGCGGTCTCGCCCGCGGGAACGATGGCGATGAAGTCTTACGCCCCGTCGGCCGTCGCGCGGGGGTTCGCGCTCGGCGTCTTAGGGGGGGGGCTCGGCGTCTTAGGCGCCGTCCGAGTGATTAAAGAAATCATCGTCTTCGTCCGCGACGGTTTCTTCGCGGACGAAGAATCCGCGACGACGGACGCGCGGTCGTCCGCCGGCACGCCGTCGACGCCGAGTTCCGTCGGGTCCGTCGAGAGCTCTCGCGACGACATCGCGTCCAGCGCGTCGGACGTCGACGACGACTTCGCATGCGACGCGATGGAGGAGGCGTGGAGGACGACGACGACGACGACGAGGAAGAGACGACGACGACGACGACGACGACGACGACGCGACGCCGACGACGCCGACGCCGACGAAACGTTCGCGAAGATTGCGTTTCGCGGTCTCCAGTGCGCGGCGTGGACGTTCGTTCTCGGCCCGGTCGTGCAATCGGTGCTGACCGAGCCGCCGGAGTCGCGCTTGTGATGATCCGACGCGAACGATACGCGTCGTGGACGAGAGAGACGGACGGTTCGGTTCGGTTTTTTTTATCCGCGCCGCTCACTTATAGACTACGTAGCGTCATCTCCCCGCCGTCGCGAACTTCGCGTGTAGCTTCAACTCCGCGGTCTGCTCCTGGAACTTCTTCAAGTACGACTCGAACTCCTCCGCGCTCTTCCTCGGGTCTTTCGGTATCGGCGAATACGCGGGAAGCGACCGCGCCGCGGCTCTTCGCGGCGTCCCCCCCGTCCCCGTCCCCGTCCCCGTCCCCGCGGCGTCCCCGCGGAGCATATCCCCGACGTCCCCGCTCCGCCGCCGCTCGAACGTCTCGATGAGCTGATCGATCTCCTTCTTGTGCGCGATTCGAAGCGCTTTCAACTCGTCGCCTTTCGCCTTTTGCGTCTTCAGGAGCGCCTCTTTCGCGAGCTCGCTCTCGCGCCGCGACGCCGTCGCGATTTCCTCCGCGCGTCCGAGCCTGACGACGCGTGGAGGACCGCGATCGGTGAGCGTCGATGATGACGTGGAGGATCGTGATTGGTCGTCGTCGTTCGCGCGAGAAGATAAAAAAGAAAACGCACGCGCGTCGCACCTGTATTCGAGCTCCCGGCACCGCTCGCGAATCGCCCCGAGCTCGTTGACGTGTTCGCTGTCGCCGACGACGACGACGCCGCCGCCGCCGCCGCCCGCGCCCCCCGTCGTCGACCCCCTCCCCCGCTCCCGCTTCGTCGGCGTGACGATCGTCTTGCTCTTGCTTCTCGAAAACCCACCCCCCGACGCCGACGCGTCCGCGTCCGCGTCCGCTTTCGCTCTCTTCGCCGCGTCGGTCGCGCGCTTCGTCCGCTCGGAGAGCGGCACGGCGATGTCCTCCATCGCCGCCGAATACGCCGCCGCCGCCGGGTCCGCGGAGGTCGTCATCGCGGTCATCGCGCACGACGCCTCCGCGCGTCGGAGGAGGTCCTCGAGGCTCGCGCGCGTCGTCGGCGAGTTCGGGCCGCCGCCGATGGGGCCTGAGGGGGGGTGGACGCGTGCGGCGAGTGAGGAAGCGCGCGGCGCGCGTCGGTCGGCGCGCCGGCGCGACGACGGGACGGGACGGGACGAAAAAACCAAAAACGCGACGGAAGGCGTCGGCGTCGGACCGGCGGCGCACCAAAGTCGTCGAGCAACGAGCGGTACGACGTCTTCCCGACGCTCTCGAGGAACGGCCCGCGGCGGCGATCGTTGGAACACTCTTTCGACGCGCGTCGCGCGTTCCACCGGCCGCTGCCGCCGGAGAGCCCGCCACCGCCGCCGCCGCCGCCGAACGCGAGGCAGTACAACGCGTGCGGAGGCAACATCGCCAAGCGTCCGTCGTAGGGCATCTTATCGAACGGCGCCTCGAGGCGTCCGACGCCGAGCTGATGCAGCAGCAACCTCGCGTGGTTGTTCCGGTTCTTCTTCCACGCCGCGTTTTTCTCCTGCGAGAGAGGCGGAGCGAGGCGGGGGGTCGAGCGAGTCAGTCCGTCGCGTTCGGTCATCAGACGTCGCCGCGGGTCGGGAGACGCGAGGATGTTAGCCGCGCTAATCCCCGTCCCGGACGACGCGCGACGCGCGGAGTGAGTGGACGTCGCCGACGGCGCGCTTCTCGAACGACGACGCGCGACGCACCGGCTCGCTGAGCTTCTTGATCCACGCCTCGCATCGTATCCGCGGCGCCCTCGCTACCATCGCGAGTCGCGTCGAGATCTCGTGCGTCGCGTTGCGGAAGGCGTCGTCCAGCGCGCATCGACGCTCGTGCTCGAGCGTGCCGTGGCCGGGGCCGAGCTGCGGGGACGCGCCGTAGGACGCGCGCTCGCCGCGCGCGGGCGAGAGTTTGACGCCCGCGCGGAAGAAGTCCTCGCGGACGCCGGGGAACGAGAAGCTCATGTCCGCCGCCGGCGCCGCGCGTCGGCGAATGCGCGTCTCGTGGCGTGCGTTTCTCTTCCCCCCGAGAGTGCGAGAGCTTTCGTGCCGCTGCGCGCGTGTGACCAGGTTGGACGAGCCACGACGACGCCGCCCCCCCATCACTCCCGCGCGCGCGGCGTCGGGAGGGACGATGCCGTACGTCAGCGACGGTGCGTCCACCCGCCCGTCGCGTCGTCGTCGTCGTCGTCGTCGTCGTCGTCGCGCGGCGGTGGCGGCGGCGCGGTCGCGGTCGACGCCGCCGCGCGCGTCCCCGCCCGCGTCGGCATCCCACGACGACTCCTCGAATCTGAGATCCGCGCCCCTCCGTCGCTCCCCCCTCCCCGCGCAGGTTCGGTCGTGGAACGGCGGTCGGCGTTCCGTCTGAGCCTGATCACCGACGTCTTCTGGCGACTCGTGAACGTCGTGTACGCGTTGTGAGTGCGCCCCGCTCGCGACGCGCGTCGTGTCCCGTTCCAACGCTGTCCTCCCTCCCCCTCCTCCTCCTCCTCCGCGAGAATGATTCGACCTGAGACGTCCTCCCTCTCGCGCCTCCCCCATCCCTTCGCGTCGCAGCTTCCAGACGATGATCAGCGCGGAGTACAGCGAGACGTACGCCGGGAAGAAACGAGGAGGCGGTAAGCGCGTCGGCGGCCTCGGCTTCGGCGGCGGCGGCGGCGGGATGGGAGGCGGAGGCGGAGGCGGAGGCGGGCGACCGGGCGGCGGCGGAGGAGGCCGCGGAGGCATGTCGAACGTGCGAGGGATCGACCACTCCGCGGCTTCGTCCGCGGGCGGATGAGGACGGTAAGCGTTCAGGGGTTCACCCCGGGCGTCGTTCGTCGTAAAGGCGCGTCGCACGGCGCGACGCGACGCGACGCGACGCCCGGACCCCTTGGACGCGCCGTCCGACGACCGCGTGATGAAAGAGCCGACTGAGAGGACGAGATGACGCGGCGGTGGTCAACCCATGAGACGCCACCGCCGCCGATGCCGTCCGCGACGCCGGTCGTCGCCGCGGGGGAACGATCGAATCGAATCGAATCGACGCCCCGGGCGAGGGCCGACGGCGTTCTGTTTGGCGAAGTCGTGTAACAACAAGAACAAAAGAGAACGAAAGGTTTCGGTTTCTTCGGTTCCGACGCTCGATGGCTGCTAGGACTAGGTCACGTCGCTCCGCCGCCTCCCCGTTACGCGCTCGCGCTTCTTCTCATTCCGCGCTAGAGCTCCGGCTTCGTCGCCTTCTTCCGCTTCTTGCCGCTCGCCTTGGGGATGTCGCCGTCGCCGTCGCCGTCGTCGTCCTCCTCGCGCCTCTCTCGCTTTTTCGAAGCCTTCTTCGCGGACTTTTCCCTGCTCTCCTTCCTCTCGGCGGACTTTGGCGTCTTCTCTCCCTTATCTCTCTTCTCCTTCTTCTCCTTCTTCGCGCTGTCTCTCTTCTCCTTCTTCTCCTTCTTCTCTTTCTTCTCTTTCTTCTCCTTCTTCCCCTTCTTAACGCTCGATGATAGACCGTTTTTCTTCGACCCGCCGCCCGCACCGCCGCCGCCGACGGATTCCACGTACCCGATCTCCCCCGTGCGCGCCTCGTCCGTCAAGCTCCCGATCAGGTGCAACACGTCGTCGAACTCGCTCACGCTCTTCACCGTGAACAGCACGGTCGACCCGACGCGTATCACGTGCTCGCGGTCGATCGGGCTCGGGCTCGTCTCCTCCCATCGCCCGCCCGGGCACTCGTCGTCGATGGGGGCGGGATTGTGCACGAGCCCGTCTCTGATGTCATCCGCGCCCACGGAGACGTTGAAGACGCCGAGGACGAGGAGACCGATGAAGTCCACGCCGACTTTGTTCACGACTCCCCTTAAAACGCTCCCGACGACCGGGCAGAACACGCGCGCGGTCGTCTCCACGTCCAGGGAGACGTGCCCGGCGAGATGGATGATGCCCGCGGTGCGCGATCGCGGGTGCACGCGGACGTCGTCGTAGGACATGAGGACGCCGCCGAGCTGGTCGTGGTGCCGCATGAGCATCCCGTCGAGGATCTCGCGCGAGCCGCGCTCCGGGTCGTCCATCGCGGAGGGATGCAGCCCGAGCGTGACGATCGCATGCTTCGTGACGACGGCGTCGTGAGGGGAGGAGGAGGACGACGACGAGGGTCGCTCGGCGTCGTCGTCGTCGGCGTCCGAAGAAGTCGGCGCTTTTTTTTCGGCGGCGGCGCGCGGACGCGCCATGACGACGACGGCGACGACGCGCGCGAACGCGCGAGGGGTTGGCGGTCGAGACGCGGCGGTCGCGATGCGGCGCGGCGATCCGCCGGCGGAGCGCTGAGCTCGCGGGGTCGACCGACGCCGCGGGCGGAGGCGCGGAGCGCTGTGATGGACGAGCGAGGGCGGCGGCGGTGTGGCAGCCAAACCTTTTTTCGGAGGTCGGACGCGGACGCGCGGTCGCGTCCCGTCAC